AGATTTAAGTTTGCAACTGACGTCCTTCTGAGACGTCGTGATGCCTAGCTTCAACTAGCGTCATCCCTTCTTATGTGAATCCATCAATGGATATCACATTCACGAGGGTGGATCACATTTGTGTATCGCACCCAAGTGACAGGTCAAAAGTAATCATGGATACTTTTAGACCAAACATTAAGTATATTACTTAATGTTTACGTGTAACTAGATACCCTGTTACACCATCCCCCGTTTTAGAACGATGTTTACATTTTGTAAAACATCGCCTAAGAGACAGAGAGACTGACGAGCCGTTATAAACGCGCCGCTTTAGTCTGCTCAAGTACTCATGCCACCGAAACGTGGTAAGGCTGATGGGTCGCCTGCAAAGGCACCCATGCCGTCCAGCACTAAGCGCACGCGCCGCGATTTATCGCAGCCGTCGCAAAGTGCTTCAGGCACTGAGGTGTATCTTCCATCTCACGATAATGTGGATGAAGATCCATCTCTCATTGTAGACTACAATGAGACCACAGCACTGCCATCACCCCAAAGTGGAGATGAGCATAGTGCATTGATGGGACATATGTCCCCATCATTTGAGGCACCCGTCCTTGAGGAAGCATCTATGCTACCTACAAGCGAAGGTAAAACCCCGTCGTCTGCGCTTACGAGCGCAGCGACTAAGATTGAGCGCGCTACTTCGAAAGGAGTAGTCGCGACTCAGTCAGATGTAACTTCTCAAGCTGATGTCTTGACAATCCATAATGGAGAGTCAGACTCAGGTGAGTGTGAGCTTAAAGCTCCACCAAGTACACCTTAGGCCTCACTAGCCCGCCGTCGCGAGGGCGCCTACGTGAGTGGTGGCTTGCCACCAATGCCACCTCCATCTGAGTGGATGAACTCGGATGGGTCTAGCGCAGCGCTTTTGCAGCGTGCCACTAAAGACGCTCATAGATTCTATAGCGTCATTCCTTTGTGGAAAAAGCAGGGCAAAGCACTTGGTCGTGCTTTCCCAATTCCAGTCGTGCTGCGTTCTAACGAAACAGCCGACGACTATGAAGCTGAACTTCGGCGCCGTGTTACCTTGCATGTAGATGCAACGAAACAATGGTCGCAGCGAATCAGCTTCGCCATGAAGCGTGCGCATGAAATTATGGGCGGTAAGCGACCCCCAATTAATTCTCGCCACGCTTCTTCTGCTAGTCCTTCCGGACCTAGCAGAAAGAAGACAGCTGGTGCTGCTTCACATAAGCAGCCACCAGCCCAGGCACGTCAACGCGCAAAGCGTCCACAGGCTCCCACGAGTCAAAGCTCGTTGGGTAACCCTTCCACTGGACAAGGATTTGGAGCTTTCGCTTCACAAACCGGTGGGCCAACAGCCTTCCAACAAGGAAGCGCGTATTCCCTTCCGTGTCCACCAACACAGGTGGCGACCGATAGGAGCGGCGATTACGCCCACCTACTCGCGGCTGCCTACCCTGCTGCTGTTCAGTCGCAGGCTGAGTCTGCTGCGCTGAAGAGGCATGTGGCAGATCTCGAGAGTCAAGTCTCGCGACTGACCTCGGATCTGCGCGATGTGAGGGCGAGGGATCGTCAGGAGTATGACCGCCTGAAGACCCGTTTGGACATCTTAGAGCGACTGGTGATGAGAGACCCGCGTCAAACGCGGAGTACTCTTCGATCACCGAGTCCTCTCGAATTTATCGTATACAGGAAGTCTTTAGGCTTCCTCGTCGCCTGATCGGCCGCGACGCTCGACTCACAGTCGACGTCACCATCGGTCTCGTTAGACCGATGTGGATATGTGATCTCTTCTGGATCAACATACCGTTTCATACGATCCACGTAAAATACGGGGTGCGTCTTCATATACGGTGGGAGAGTGAGCCTATAATTTAGGTCTCCAACCTGCCTCAACCGCTGTAAATGGCCCAATGAATCGGGGCAATAGCTTAGTAGTACCACCAGGTAGTACAGAAATTGCATGTTTAGGTAGGGTAGCAGTACTTAATAGCACTTTGTCCCCCACACTAAAGTGTTCATTGTTTTTGCGACCATGCTGGTCTGCATATTGTTTTAGATTGTCCTGTGCGCTTGCCATCGCGTCACGGACTTACGTGCGATGGCTAATCGCTCATCCACAAAGCGCTGAGCTTCGCCCACGTTTTTAGCATCCAGCTCGCCTATGACGCCTTAAAGAGGTCGTTCATGGGTCGACGCTGTTGATAACACTATAGTGTTACCGTCAAGAAGCACTGGCATTTCTTGTCGTGTCTCCTTATGTGACTACCTATAGGTAATCGCGACCACCTGCTGAACTAGCTGTGTCACTAGGGCAACCTTGGCCCTTTTTGGCATTCGCACCGAGCGAAGTGAGGGGACCCCCCCCCCACTAAGACTCGGGCTGCGTACAAACGAGACTGGCGTTCGAGGATGACGCATTCCGTTAATGTAAAACGGTTTTTCACCCGTACTGGTGTGAACACTGTTATTAATAGCGAACTCCACGAATGGCAATTGCTTGCTTCATTCTTTAGGAGTCGCTATTGTACGCAACACATCCGCCACGACTCGATTGGCCCGTTCTGTTTGGCCATCGGTCTGGGATGATCGGCTTCTGACATGTGGAGCGTGCTACCCAGCAGCTCGAACCCATGTCGCCAAAAACCCGACGTAAAACGCGGATCCCGGTCCGATACTATGGACTCGGGCATCCCGTGTAGTCGATACACATGCTCCAGGAATAAGAGGGCAGCCTCTTTTCCTGAGATCTTGGTGCTACATGGTGCCAAATGCACCATCTTGCTCAGTCTGTCTACAAAGACGACGAGCCCCGTCCTGCCTTTATGGTCAGGCGGTAAGCCAAACATGAAGTCCAAACTGACCGACTTCCAACAATCCATTGGAATCGGCAGTGGCTTCAGTGGCGCACTGTTCGAAGGTGCAGGCTTTATGCGCTGACACTCTTCGCAAGAGCGAATATAGTTGGCCACCCACCGATATAGGTGGGGCCACCAAAATTCCTCTGACACTCGTAAAAATGTCTTTTCACGGCCCAGATGCCCACTAGATGGCGCATCATGGCACTCGTGAAGTATCATTATCTTGAGATCTGTGTTATGAGGGACATAGATTCTCAAGGGATCACAGGGTGACAGTTGATGCCATAACAGGCCATCACTGTAACTAAAGCGATTTAGTTTCACTTTGAGGTGCGACGGAAGGGTAACCTTTCGTCCACCAAATGATCCAACAGCAGGCGACAATGTTCGTCCTGACTGTAGCACTCCTTGATATCGGAGGCCATTGAGCTCGTCACATGGTAGGCCTTCATGGCTGCCAATGTTGACGACTCACCTTGTGCTTTCGAACGAGACACACTATCCTGGTGTCTTGCCTCGAAGTCTGGTCTGCGCGATAACGCGTCAGCCAAGACATTCGACTTACCCGGCTTATATTCAACTTTGAAATTAAATTCAGAGAAGAGTGGTAGCCATCTTGCCATTCTCGGCGAGAGGTGTGGTGAATTTATAGCGGTACGCAGTGATGCGTGATCCGTATAAACCACAAAAGGTTCGGTGCCCAAGAGGTGCACCCGAAACTTCACAAGGGCATACTTAATTGAAAATAGCTCCTTGTCATGCACAGGGTAGTTCAGCTCTGCAGCTTTCAAAAGCCGAGACTGATAAGAAATGACACGGTCAACGACGTTGTCATCCTTCTACATGAGCGCGCTGCCGATTGCAAAATTGCTTGCATCGCAGACGACGCTAAAGGGCTTATCCGCGTCTGGCAATGCCAAGACCGGTGCCTCTACAAGAGACTGCTTCACTGAAATGAACGCATCTTCTGGTTCTTTTGACCAAGTCCATTCTGTATCCTTTTTCAAAAGTTCAGACAATGGCTTAGTCTGCTCCGCATAATTCTTTCTGTACTTATGCAAGTAATTAGCGAGCCCAAGGAATTGGCGCAGATCCTTCACATGTCGTGGGACTGGCCATTCCTTTACAGCCTTTACCTTTTCTGGGTCTGCTCGTACACCATGTGCACCTACGATGCAGCCCAGTACCGGTATCTCGGGGACCCCTATTACGCACTTTTGCAAGTTCACGTATAATTGGGCGTCACCCAGAGTCTGCAACACAGCGTCTAAATGGCGCTTGTGCGACTCTATCGCGCTCAGACCGTCCTCCGCCCTACTATTCACGAATACATCGTCAAAGTAATGGGGCGCGTAGGCACGGTGCTGACGCATCACGTGAGCCACCACTTGGTTGAATGTTGCCGGAGCATTTTTCAACCCTTGTGGCATCACAAGCCACTCCCACAGCATACCGCTTGGGGTGATTACTGCCGTTTGGCTACATTAGTATCTCTCATGAGAACCTGATAGTAGCCATCCTTCAGATCCAACGCGGAAAAGATAGTTGACTTTCCCATGGAATTCAACAAAACATCTTTCCGCGGGATCGGCGATGGAGCCGGGATGGTGGCCGTGTTCAGCTTATTATAAGCATGAACCACGCGCCATCCACCCTTGGCTTTACGCACACAGAAGGTCGGGCTGCAGTGAGGCGACTTGCTCTCACGTACATGTCCCGCCTTGGCTCGCTTGTCGAAGAACTCATCGATGTAATCGACTTGTTCCTTCGGCAACGGCCATTGCCTGGTCACACAATACTTGGTGCCAGTCTCCAGGTCAATTTCGTGCCTGATGCCCCTATCGGCCGGTAGGCGGCTCGGCACTTCTGCTGAAAACACATCACGGTGTTTCCACAGAACATCATAGAGAGTTTCGAATTTGCCTCGTCGTGCACAAGTGTCAAACACACTGCATAGGACCTTTTTCGCTGCTACCCTGCCCCCTCGACCCGCACCTCCAGCCGGTCGTCCCTCTCCCGCTTTTCCAGCCTCGCTTCTACGACATCTGTCGCGCTTCTCCAGTTTCGTCTTTACGTAACCTCGTCGCGCCTTTCCCCTGTCGTCCGCTCTTCGCTGTCCAAGCCTTTCACGCCATGTCTTCGCGGTCATCTCGCCCGCCAGCTGTCGTTACCAATGAAACAGTTGTTTCATCGCCGGCTCCTGATTCCGGTCATCAGCCCCCTTCTGTCGCGCCTACACCACGTGCAGGCGTCCGCAACCCGCCACCTGCCGCACCATCTGGTCGCAGTGACGGACCTACCACTCCATCTGCTACGCTGCCTGGTCGTGGGACCGGGCGTGAGGCGCCTACCTCTACGCCACATGGTCGTGGAGCCGGACGTGTCGCGTCCTCTGCCGCTCCATCTGGTCGTGGAGCCGGACGTGTCGCGTCCTCTGCCGCACCATCTGGTCGTGGCGCTGGTCAACTTCCGGTCTCTGCCGCGCCACCCGGGCGAGGTATAGGGCGCCGCGCCCCTGATTCCGTGCCCCGGGCCCAGCGTGTCGGCCGCTACGTACCGTCGGACTCCCTCTTCCAGGCACTGGAAGAGGCGGCCGCCAACAATGCGCCGGCCGCCGAATTTCGAGCGATCGCCTTGCGCGACGTCCAACGCTCTCGCGTCGCGGTCTCCGAAAAGTTCAAACTTTTCATCCCGTGTGGCGCCGTCGCCGCGTCCCTTCAACTGGATGAAGTCATGCTCTCTATTCACATGGAGGACCAGTCGGCTCTATGGAAGGACTCGCTTCCAACGCTGTGCGACTTCATCCGCATCCCGTCCAAGGGCATCCGATTTACGTGCACGTCGCGCGATGTGGCCGTCAAGCTGGGAGGCTCGTCGGTGCGCATCTTCGGTGCCCAGCACATTATCAAGAAGTTTAGTCTGTACGAGCGTCTGTACACGCTGAACCTCACCCGAATCCCCTCCGACCTGGATGACGCCCTCATCTTTGACTTCTTCGCGACTCGGGGTCTTCATGTCCTCGTCACCGCCACGCACCAGGTCGGAGGCATGACTTCTCGGGACCGCACGGTCTGGTGCACAACCGAGGAGTGCCCGTCGGCGCTCTTTCTTCCTGATGGGTCCGCTCTTCGCGAGATCTACTTCGACGGCTTCGCCGACCCCGTGTTTGTCCAGCACAAACAGCGGTCGCTCAACACGAAGCCACCTTCTCTTATCAAGCGCGACCTAGACCGCATGGCAACCGCGGAGGCGCAACGGGCTGCGTCTCGGGCCGCGGCGGTGGTGGCCTCAGGCCCCCGTGTTGCCAGTACGGCTTCAACCGCCTCCTCTTCACCGCAGTCTATCGGTGCGTCTCCGGCCTCTGTAGCGGTAGACCCTGACGACGTGCGCCTTGATATCGTCAAGCCTGAAGCCTCGGCATCCCTTCTCGACTGGACGGTTGTCACGCGCCCTATCGTTTGCAGCCAACCGGAGTCCCGCCCTCCGGCTACAGCAATTACTTGTGGTGCATCCCTTCTTAAGGACGAGAGGATGGTCTTTGGCATTCCTGCACCCCCCACCGACTTTGAATTGGCGTTCGCGGAAGACTGCCAAGACGTCGATGTGGATGTCTTCCTCGACGGCGATGCTACGATTGCTCCGGTCACACCGTCATGTGAAGTCGGACAACTCATCGCGTCGCACTCACTACTCACCGTCAGCCGCACCAAAATGAAGAGGTCTCGCTTCAAAGGCCTCGCCAGCGGCGCACAGACTGACTTCCTTTCCGTGGGGGACCCGGAGGGACGCCTGGCCTCTATCACAGCCCAGCCTTTAATAATCGCACCAGTGCTCCATGACCTCACTCCTGAATCCACCCGGGTGGTCGTTGAGCATGCTGTCCTCCGGGCCTACAGTGGGTTCCCCGCGGTCACCCACACTACGTCACGCCAGCTTGCACCTCGCATCCGCGTCGATTTTCCGGATGGCAGCCCTGCCGCAGACGAGATTTTGGCACACGTCTACCCCAGCACTCCACAACGGGAGATGGCCCAAGCGTACGCATCTGTCGATCTCTTCTTTCGCACGCATGCATCCCGCATCTACAATGATCCTTTTAAGGTCGGAACGATTGCAGGCTTAAAAGCACCCGATTGCCTCCCCTATTCCGACTTTATTTTGTGGTCGGACACAGTCCTTCACGCGCTCTGTCACAGTGACTTTACTGAAGGGCTCGAGGGGACTCTCCCATTCCACGTGGAGGCATCTCTCGCTCTCATTCGCTCTACGTCTGACGACGACATGGCCTCCGACTCGGAATCCTCGGAAACCTCATCAGATGGTATGCAGGCTCTCTAATTCGCCGTGGATGATCACAGGAGCGTCCGTTAACATTAACGGCCTCAACGCTCCGACTACCCATCTATTCAATCAGCTTTTTTCTTCATACGGCATGGTCGGGTTCCAAGAGACCAAGTTTAGCTCCTGGGACCACGTCAAACGTGCCAATTATTTTATCGCTTCTATCGACTCGAGGGCGGTCTATTTCTGGTCTCACGGGGCGGACTCCGACTACTCCGGGTCTCGTGGCCACGATGGCGTGGGTATCGTCTTCCGGGGCGATCACCCCTTCGACTCGCTGAAGGACGTCTCCAGCTCATTTGCCGATGCAGCTGAGCTGTCGCATCGATACCTTGTCATTGAAGCTACTATTGGCGCGACGACCATTTTTTTTCACGTCATTTACGCTCCCGTGTCCGGCGATATGAGACGGACTTTTTTTGACATCCTGCCACACTCCTTCCCCGACGGGTGCCATCACTTGGCGCTCGGTGACTTCAACGTACCGATCGACCCATCACTTGACGAGCGGGTGGCCTCCCGTACATCACCTGGAGTTGCCGAGCTGCTCAATTGGCAATTGCGCCTGGGGGTCGTCGATGCGTGGCGTACCTTTCACCCTCTCCTTCGGGAATTCACCGGTCCCGGCCGGCGGAACCGTATCGACTATGGTTTCGCATCGTCGGAGCTTCTCGAGGATTACGTGGTTTGCTTCGATCATGTCAAGGACAAGATCTGGCACCACGCCGACCACCTACCACTGTCTTTTACGCTTCAATCTCCACTCTATCCTCAGCGGACGCAGCTGCCGTGGAAATGTCCATCGTGGTTGCTTAAACATTCCGCCGTCTCTGCTGTCTTAGGGCACTCCCTCGACGCCTTGCGGGCTCGCATCCGAACCGGTATCGCCGACAACCCGGGAGCATTGTATGACGAACACAAAAGGGCGGACGGAATTTACCTCCGCCAAATGTTTCACGTACTGAAGAATTCTGACGCCGTCGTGGAACGGTACCTCACGCAGGACTTGCACGAGGCTACGTGTGCCCACGCCACCGAGAACTCGGAACCTTCAGCGACTAGTCTCCTCGCTGCGCGGGATGCGCTGGCGACGCACAAAGCCTTCATCCAGTCTCGGTGCGAGGCTGCTAAATTCGACAAGGATGTCAGCACTGGCGAGTCCGGGTCCTCGTATTTCTTTCGTTCTCCGAGTTCGGTCAATCTTCGGGTCTCCATACCGAGCGCTACACGTCCGGACGGGTCTTCGACGACAGACCCTGACGAGATGGCTGAGGTTCACCGGAAATACTGGGGTTCTCTCTATCGCAGCCCCTCTCACGACTTCATCTCTTCGACATCCGTGTCGCCATTCCAACCTCTGGAGCTTCTACGCCTTCTCAGGCACACCACTTCATGCATCTCGTCTGCCGACCAAGTGCATCTCGATGCGCCTATGACGGCAAACGACTTTTATTGGGCCATCACGACTTCAGGACGCGGCAGGTCAAGTGGTTTGGATGGCTTGCCGATCGAGTATTTTCAGCTGTCGCCCCATAAGTGGGCCCAAGTTCTCGAAGGAGTGTATGCGAGCCAGCTCCGTCTTGGTCGTATGACCAAATTTCAGCGGCGCGCCTCCATCACACTTCTTCACAAATCCGGGGACCGCGGGGACCCGAGTAACTACCGCCCGATCACACTTCTAAACCATGACGCCAAGCTTGGGCCCAAGATTATGGCTCATCGACTTCGGAACGTCCTGCCCCACGTCCTCCACGGGGACCAATCCGGTTTTGTCTCCGGCCGTTCAATCCGACATTCGCTTGCTCGGTTTCAGGATCTTCAACAATTTTGTTCTTCGTCTGGTCGCACTCAGGCAGGCGCTGTCCTCCTGGACTTCGCCAAGGCGTTTGACAGCGTCCTCTGGCCGGCTTTGCGCCTCGTGCTTGAGCACATGGGGTTCGGCCCTCACTTTCTTCATTGCGTCAAGACGTTCTATACCGGCACACTTGTTGCTGTTCTGGTTAATGGACGAGCTAGTCGCTACTTTGAGCTCGGATGCGGGGTCCGTCAAGGTGACCCCCTCTCTCCTGCTCTTTTTGTTTTATTTCTGGAGCCCATGCTCAACTATCTCCGGGTGACTACCGGTTCTCTCGGGATACGTGTGCCCACAGATGCAACTCGACACCACTTGCTCGCCTTCGCCGACGATTGCACAGGCTTCCTCGACGACTTGGCAGAGACACCACTTTTCTTGCGGACCGTCCGTGGCTACGCTGACGCCGCCGGTCTTAAACTTAACGTTTCAAAAACGAAATTGCTCCCGTTCACAGCTTGTGCTCCGGAGCTCCGAAGCTCACTCGTTGAGCTCGGCTTCACCGTCGTGGCAGACAATGCATCTACGAAGCTACTTGGGATTGACCAAAGCCCGTGTCTCCCGGTATGTCGACGCTATGACCGCATTCTGCCTCTCCTGGTTTCGAGGTGCCTTTTGTGGCGTTACCGCGCCCGAACACTACGTGGTCGTGCGGTTATCCTCCGGACTATAATACTCCCATTGCTTTGGTATACAGCGGCAGTCACTCCGATGCCACCCGCGGTAGCCGCACAAGTGACTCTACTCTGCAAAGCTTTCCTGTTCAAGCGCGTTATTGGATCTCCATCTTCGATCCGGGGGCCTCTGGCTGAGGAATGGCTGTATTGGCCGACCTCTCGAGGGGGTCTCGGCCTTCCCAACGTCGCTATTTTTGCTCAGACTCTTCTACTATGTTCTTTGCGGGATGCAGTTTCTTCGGCGGGTTCTCCTTGCATCATCTCGCGCTGGAGCTCTCCTGCAATAGCTCTGTTCTCTATGCCTCTCGGTCCGTCCGGCTCCGGTTTCGACATTCTCTACTGCGCTGTTCCGAAATCAGTCGCTCCAACGCCTCAGTGGGCTCTACTAGGGCGCTTCTGGTACGCTGCCTTACAGACATGGCAACGTCTTCGGGACTCGTCGCACCACACGTCGGCACTCTCCCAATTTTTGCTCGACGCCCCACTTTGGAGGAATGTCTACTTCAAGGTCGGCACTCTCGGTCGCTTACTTGAAGACTCTTCTACCTTGGTTACCCATTTCAGGAATCTGGGCTATGTGCGCCTACGTGATTTCCTCCTTCGTCATGGTCGGCTGCCTGACAAGGCACTTTGCCTCTCCATTTTGGCAGGGGTAGCCTTTGGAAGCCCCCCGACTGCGCTCGCTCGCTGTCTCGCAATTTCTTTCCAAATTATCACTCTGGTGCCTCGCCTCGGTTGCTGCTTCATATGGGCCGGCCCTCCCTGCCCACCTGTGCAGCGCGCGTCATGGCTGGTCCTTTCAAGGAGTCCTCTTTGGTCACCTCCCTAATCGGCGATTGTACCGTATGCTCCACGTCTTGCCAGCTATTACACGATGGCCACACGTGGCTCATGATATCCCTGAGGCACCGAATTGGGCTGCTCTATGGAAGCTCGAACTTTCTCTGGACTGCTCTGTTCTTCCAGTTTTGAGCGACCTCAAATTTCGATTACAACACAATGCTCTGGGAGTCCGCCGCAAACATGCGTATCACACCAGTGACGTACTGTGCCCTCATGGGTGTGCTTCGGTAGAGAGCACCCGCCATCTTTTTTGGGAGTGCAGGATTGCCCGGTCAGTGTGGCAAGCGTTATTAGCTCCGGTTGAGGCACTCGTGGAGGGCCCAATCTCTTGGCCCCAAATTCTCTATCTCCAGGATCTCCGATTCTCCGCAGAGAGTGTCCGTACTCACTCTCGTCATAATCTGCTGACGGTGTTCAACATCGTTCGATGCGCGGTCCTATACCCACTTTGGTTGCACAGGAACGACCGCATCTACCAGGAGGTGGCATCCTCATCAGCTGTCCCACGCAGTAAGGCGGCGGCTTACGTCCGCCTCACCTTGTCTCGTGTGGCTTCAGTGTCCTGGCAGAACACGAGGCTAGCCATCCTCTGTCGGTCCCTCTCCCGGTTAGTGTGAGGGATGCTCCAGGGTTTCAGTCGTTCTCTTTCGACTAGGCCTTTATCGCCGCCATTTTGGGCCTGGTATCGTTCCCTGAATTCCACTCCGGATTCCTTCTCTACCGCTTACAAAGCTCTGGACTATTTGACGTGCATACATGCTGTGTGGTACTAATCGCTTACTGGTTGACAGCCGGCTTTTGTTGGGCCATCGGTGTGTCGTCATATTTGGTCGGTCACACGTTGACATCATTTCTATACCTATTTCTACTATGGGTATTTCAGGTATGCTTCCTTCATTACGGTTTCCGACGTTTTGGACTATTTGACGTGCCCACATCCTGTTTGGTACTGCATGCTGGCTGGTTGACAGCCGGCTTTTGCTGGACCTTTGGTGTGTCGTCATATTTGGTCGGGCACACGTTGCCATCATTTTTATACCTATTCCTACTATGGGTATTTCAGGTATGCTTCCTTCATTACGGTTTCCGACGTTTTGGACTATTTGACGTGCACACATGCTGTTTGGTACTGCATGCTGGCTGGTTGACAGCCGGCTTTTGCTGGACCTTTGGTGTGTCGTCATATTTGGTCGGGCACACGTTGCCATCATTTTTATACCTATTCCTACTATGGGTATTTCAGGTATGCTTCCTTCTCTCCGATTTACGACGTTCTGGACCATTCGGCGTGCCCACATCCTGTTTGGTACTGCATGCTGGCTGGTTGACAGCCGGCTTTTGCTGGACCTTTGGTGTGTCGTCCTTTTTGGTCAGGCACACGTTGCCATCATTTTTGTACCTATTTCTACTATGGGTATCTCGGGCATGTCCCCTTCTCTCCGATTTCCGACGTCCTGGACCATTCGACATGCCCACATCCTGTTCGGTACTGCATGCTGGCTGGTTGACAGCCGGCTTTTACTGGACCTTCGGTGTGTCGTCCTTTTTGGTCGGGCACACGTTGCCATCATTTTTGTACCTATTCCTACTATTGGTTTCTCGGGGACTTCCTACGCCTACGTAATTCTAGGCTATTCTAGGTTCCTCTACTATCTTTCCTTCGGGTCCTCTGGACCCGGTTTTATCTTCTTCTAAACTAGTATAATGAACATTTTTTCACAGAACATCATAGAACGGACTGTCCTTCAAGGCATCCCAGCCTTGAGCAGAGAACCGTTTCTTTTTGTCGGTCTCCAAGACGCTCTCGTCCAGTGTGGATGAAGAGCAACAGTCCACCACGTTCTCTTCTGGAACTGGTGCGACTATCTCGTGGATCTTTCCTTCTTTTAGTTCGGACAGGAACAGATCCCACGTCATATCCGAGAGATTTACTATCTCCTCGGAAGATGCCAATACAAGTTGGAGCACCTCAACTGAGGATGCCTCCGGCATTTTATCTTCGACGGCCTCGAACAACTCGTTCGTAGGTCCGTCCTCTTGGACCGAGACTGTTCCAGGGGTCACTCGTTTCGACGTGCCCTTGATCATCTTAATACGTCTGGTGCTCGTTCTTCGAGTCACCACGACCTTTGACCTGGAAGAAGGTGTCGTTGCTGTATTAGACAACGCACTTCTTCCAACCGCACCAGGCTCTTGGCTTTGTGCCGGTTGTTGTGGCGCTTGACTTCCTGTCAGCCCACCATCAACTGCCACAGGCCCTCGGCTCTGTGCAGGACTATTGGACGCATGACTACCTGTCATCTCCCCATTCACTACACCAGTACTTTCGACCTGGGTAGGAATATGTGTCACCTGACTTTCCGCCAGTGCACTTCCAACTACTCCAGGCTTCACGAGCTGGGTAGTTCCTGGTGTCGATTGACATACCGTCATCGCACCCTCGACTGTGTTGGACACTGCATCAGCCACATAAACCTCTCGCAAGAGCACATCCTTGCCGGTGTCTTGCGTAGAGCTAGCGACTGTGCGTGTACGCCAGTCTATCCATGGTTGGTGTTTAGCCAACCAAGGCATGCCTAGGATGAGGTCATACGGACTCTCCATACCTAGCACTGTGAACTTCTCTTTACAGAAAAGTCACTGAAGTTGAAGGCGAATTCAACTTGACTCCCTCCGATTTAACGAGCGAGCCGTTCGCTAAACGAACGATCGCCTCTTTTCGCTTGCCATCCTGGCAAAGCGACTCATAACTCGCCGGTCTCCTTTTTAGAGCAGCGAGTTTCACAAAGTTTTGTGATGCACCCGAATCCACGAGAAGAGTCATCACTTGGTCATAGCCTCGTACTCGAGCGCTATAGACCAAAAGGGTTGAGGTCCGACCTTTCGGAACCTCAGGGACTATGCTACCCATTTGTTCTATCACTCTGAACTTAGGGGTAGCTTCAGAGTCCGCGAAAGTAGGGCATCATGCCCCTACTGCGCTCCCGCATTTCCCGACCCATCTTGGGCAGGTGCTGAACCCGTGCGTCGTGCACGCTGGTTTTTCGCACCTCCCTTCGGGTTGGGAGACCTTTTGCTGGCTGCCTTAGCACCAGAAGCAAGTTTGGCATAGCAACGAGCCATCATATGGCCTCGCTTGCCGCACTTGTAGCAGACCACGCCTGCATTGCCTAACTCCATAGGAGTGGCATCAGACCTTTCGGTCGACGGCCTGTAATAGGCTGTCGCCGAGGCGCTGTTGTAGGATTGCTCCTCAACCAAGGCAATGTCAATTTTCTCCTCCATCGTCGCTGACACCTTTCTGAAAAGGGCCTGATGCGATGGGCCATGCCTAAGTCCATTCATGAACGTAGCCACCTTGATACGTTCCGGTATCGGTTTCCCATTAATGAATGCCGACAGCGAACGCATCTCCTGCACAAATTCTTGCAGAGAGCGTTTCGCCTGTCGTGCTCCAAAGAAGCGCGCCATAAGCAACAGGCGGCTGATACATGGCGCGAATCTTTGTTTTAAAGATCGCCGATTATGGAAACGCATCAGCGTTTGCCATCAGCGCAGAGTAAGCCCACTCTGACGCTTTGCCACGCAAGTTGGACATGGCATACGACACCATTCTGGTGTCGTCTTCGATGAGCTGCGCCACTCCACATTGCTCCACTGCTAATAGCCAGTGAACAATCGTGTGAGGGCTAGTTCCATCGAACTTCGAAGGGTCCATCCGAATGGGCCTCGGTTGAGCAGGCCGGGCAGAGAGCGTCTCAACAGTTCTGTTGAGCGCCTCATTACGTGCTTGCTCAAGCCTAAGCTCATCCTGAGTCTTAGTGATGGACTCAGTGGTGGCTTGGCTGTTTACCTCGGACGCGTTTCTACGCTTTCCGAGCACAAACGCCTCAAATTGCTCCAACTGAGCAACATGTTGCTCAGGAGGACAATGCAAGAGGTTGACCAGGGCTTTTTCCCCAAGTCCTTGCGCCATATGCTCTGCCAACTCCCTATGATATTGGGAGAGGTGAGGGAAGTCACTCCAGTCCATGTTAAGGACCATCTTATCAACACGCACGCTCAGAGAGACGGGTCGTGGGAAGGACCAACAAGTGCTACCAAGTGTAGACGGGTACTTCGAAACGAAACTACCACGTACTACGCGTGCACACCTTTTAAGCAGCGCAAGGAAGCGGTTATGCCGTCTTACCTTCGCGTGCGAGGGTGGTTGGGAGGTTGGTCGACTGCTTAAGCAGTCGTACCACCAGTTGCCTCTCGCTTAAGCGAGAGTGCCACGAACTTCTTAACACTAAAGCACCGACGTCACGCAGAAGTCTTTCAACTTCTCGTGCGTAGTGTGTTTGTTTAAGTAAATACAAGACTGAGCTATATTTAATGAATTATAACTAAATATATACTTAACTACTGATTGGCATTATATATATATGTATATATATAGATCGGATACGCGACTCTTTAGAAGCGTATCCTGTCGCATGATCTTAAATCTAGATTTAAGTTTGCAACTGACGTCCTTCTGAGACGTCGCGATGCCTAGCTTCAACTAGCGTCATCCCTTCTTATGTGAATCCATCAATGGATATCACATTTGTGTATCGCACCCAAGTGACAGGTCAAAAGTAATCAAGGATACTTTTAGACCAAACATTAAGTATATTACTTAATGTTTACGTGTAACTAGATACTTTGTTACAACATTCGTCTGAGTGAGGTTTAAACATTGGTGTAGACGGGCACTTCTACGAAGTTGCCTCGTGATACTATCACGCACCTTCAGCACAAGCGAGGAAGCGGTTAGACCGTCTTACCTTCGCGTGCGAGGGTGGTTGTGTGGTTGGTCGACTACTTAAGCAGTCGTACCACCAGTTGCCTCTCGCTTAAGCAAGAGTGCAATGAACTTCTAAGACAAGAAGGCACCGACGTCACGTAGAAGCTTTTCTGCTTCGGTGTTTAAGTAAATACAAGACTGAGCTATATTTAATG